TTCGCGGGATTACGAACCCCAGGTAGTCTGGGGAATGCGCTCTACCTTCTATTGTTGAGTAAAATTTTCAGTGGAGCTTACGGAGCTGTAATGCCGTTTAAAGTGAAGTCGGGGTTATGTCCATTTGCATCGTGTGGGGTTCACCAAAACCGAAGCGCTCTTTTCATCTTCATCCATTCATCCGACTAAAGTACGTCGCCAAGACGGCCTCATAAGTGAAGTATGTAAAAATGCGGGTGAAGCTGTCAGTCGTTAAGCGTGAATAATTTTGCGGCGTTCATAGAATGGCGCTTCAAGCAGAAAAGTGGGGACAATCTAGATTTTGCACCTATTGCAGGAATATCATGAAACGAAATGAAGGCTTGGTTTCAGGTAGAATGCAAGAAATCAAATCTTGTATCCTGCACGAAGACAATACGGGCCTTTTGATCGACTGAAATTGACATTGATTGGTTATTGAATTGACGGTAACGTTCCCCGTTTCGATCTCTACTTCAGATTGCAAACGTGAATTAGAAGAATTCATTAATGTTGAGATGAGTTCTCAAGTCTCTCTCAGCGTACCCCACAAGAAAGCAATTCATTTGTCGCAGAGTTAGACGAACTTATGAAGTACATAAGGAAGATGTGTTCGCGTGTAGATGAATTGAATTAAGTTGTTAGTTAGAATACTAGTTAGAATGGTTCACACAATAAATTACCTTAAAGAAGACGGAAAACCCGATTTATCTACTAGATCTATCGTAGATTATTTTAGAACCAGACCTACAACATTATTCGAGATCCCTGTATTAAAAAGCGAAACGTCTCTGTTGAAAACGTTAAATCCAATACCAGGGTTAAGCGAAATGACGTTGACCAACTGGAGTTTTTATGGGTTGGGGTTCTTTGCATGGACTGTCGATTCGTTAGACTTCTTCTGTGTGTCCGCTGCTGCATCGGAGATGGCCCATACCTTGCAGGTCGATATTACCGAAATTACTTGGGGTGTCACGTTAGTCTTGATGTTGCGATCTGTCGGAGCATTCATATTTGGTATTTTGTCTGACGCATACGGCAGAAAGTGGCCGTTTATAGCGTGTTGTGTGATTTTCATTATTTTGGAAATTGGTACTGGGTTTGTTCAGACTTATACTCAATTTTTAGCTGTGAGGGCATTGTTCGGTATAGCCATGGGTGGTATGTACGGAAATGCGGCAGCCACAGCTTTAGAAGATCAACCAGAAAGGGCAAGATCGGTATTATCAGGCTTGTTTTTGCCTGGTTATAACTTTGGTTACTTATTGGCGGTTGTGTTTTTCCGGGCCTTTGAATCCACATATAAAGGCGACCAAGGATGGGGAGCATTATTATGGTTCTCAGCAGGATTACCAGTAATCTTGATTTTTTGGAGATTGTGCCACGGTGAATCTGTTGCATTCTTAAAGTTACAGGAAAAGCGAGAATTAGAAGCCAAGAACAATCTAGAACCTAAGAATATGCTAAAGAAAGTTAAAGAAAGAATCCTCCCAGTATTCAGGACTGAATGGCTCATGTTTATTTATTTGGTTGTTTTAATGTCAGTCTATAATTTCATGTCTCATGGTTCCCAAGATTTATATCCAACTTTATTGGTTAAGCAGCATAACGTAGGACCTGATAAGAAGACTGTTCTCATGGTTATCGTTAACTTGGGCGCTATGGCTGGTGGTGTTTTCTTCGGCCAATTGACAGAGTTAATGGGAAGGAGGTTAACCATTATTATTTGTTGCATAATGGGTGGTGCATTTATTTATCCATCATTTTTTTCCGATGATTTGCCAACGATGACTGGGGGGTATTTTTTTCTTTGTTTTGCGACTATGGGTGCATGGGGCGTAGCACCGTTACATTTAATGGAATTAGTCAATAAGGAACACCGTGTTTTCTTAAGTGGAATAGGTATGTCATTGAATTTTATTCATGAACTTTTTATGAATGAAAACTAACATAATTATAGTATATCAATTAGGCAATCTTACCAGTTCTGCAGCTTCCACTATTGAAGCGACGATCGGAACTAGATTTCCGTTAAATATAGGTACATCAAGTGACTCATATGATTATGGTAAAGTCATGGGTATTTTCTGTGGAGCCGTTTATGGTGCTATGATTATAGCCATTTTCTTTGGTCCTGAAAGATTCCATAGAGCATTGATTATATCAGACGATATTATCGAGGAAGTAGATGAATGTTCGAGTGATATTCTGGTGTACGAACAGAAACATGAGGTGAATTGTAAAGTTTGATTTATTCTCATAGATCAATGGATTATTATACTAGGAACCACATTATGCACTGGCTTGCAGTTCTCGACGTATAGTATTTGCAGTTAATTGCAAAACTTTTTATTTTGTCCTATATAGGAAGAAAGGAATACTTGAATTTTAATTTTGTATTCATTTCATTGTAGAACACTTTTTATAAGTTTTTTCATTAGGTAATTATGCAAGATAATTTACTCAATCTTTAATCTAAAAATTACCATCCTTATAGATATATTTGGCTATTCAAATTTTACCGTGACTCATGGATTAAATATCCATAGAGCTTGCAGGGTTATTAGCAAGACGTCCTTATACTTTCCATGGCTTACCATGGTATCAGTCCCTATCATTTCTCTAGTTTTCATGTCAAAAAGACAAGTAACAACTGACCTTCCATTACTGGTGATATCCAATTTACAACGGACAGTCGATGGCAAATATTTCACCAGATTGTGGCTCCGTACTGAACATAATCCCTGCAAAAGTTCATGTTGTAAGAAACCTGGACGGTTGAAGACTCTAGCATCCATTCTATACGCTGCAACTGCGTGTGAACTGTTCAACCTCATACAAATGTGCAGATATGTCTTCGTTTACTTTAGATAGTACCATAACATAGTGCAGTAGTATAATAAAATATCCAGAAGTTTATATATGTATCACACGCACCTAATAGAAAAATACGTCATACAGAAATAAACAACAAACCATCTTATAAAACTACAACTTAGGAGGATTCTTAAAGAATCCATTCATCTAGAAACATGAGATTTTCTCTGTATTTGTCCAGTTGTATCATGATGTACCCGATGGCTGGACAGGTTCCGAAATAACTCTAAGAAGGTTGTGAACTATCTCGGTAGCAGTAACTTCCTATCTATTAATGGGTTATTAGAAGGAACAGATTACAAGAGCTTATATTCAGGAGAAATGATGTGATATTGGTAAATGGTATTACCCGCAACTATGTAAAAGAGACGCATCGAACTGAAATGGATTTTTTATCCTCTATGCATTGATAGATCGCCGGTTCCGGGTTTATCCAATAGAGTTTTCCTAGCTTTTCCTATCAGTCATATCCGATATCAACATTTCCCTTTATGAATTGAAATAGGGTATTTGTAATAGCAATGGAAACTATTAATTTTGAACGGGGTTATCATAGGCTGGGTGTTTTTATCTCTGATGAAGTCAGTGTTTATGCAGGAGAAATAGATGAACGTCTATTAAATTCATCTGGTCAATCGAAAAAGCGATAAAAATTACCAACTCCACCTTTTATCGACAACATTTGAGCCCAAAATGTTTTTAGAAATATTCTTTTGTGTAGTCTCCTCCCCCCACTAAAAATGGGGAAACAATAGGCACTGATTATGGAAGTAAGATTCACACAACTGACTATAATTGAGCGATTCTTTATATCAAAGGTGCTCTCGATAATATGACTTAGGGAGAAATTGCTATACTTCAAAAATTTTGTTTTGAATTACTCGTAATTTTTATCTCTGCAAATGGATTGGTTAAATCTTTTATTTGGGACAATATTCATTCAAATTATATTAAAATATTTTATTACATGATTCATGTTAACATAGATGAATTATTATGTGACAAAAAATATAGGGTCTACGCTACAAACTAGAAGCTTTTACTTCTAAATATCGCTTATTATATCTCTACCATTCCCAATTATCGGCTTTCTCTATAAATCAAATTCAACATCCTTCTCACATTTCATTCTCATATTTCACTCTCAATATCGCAATTTAATTACTCATCTATATTAACTTTTATTCATTCCCCCATATTATAACGCTCCAAATTCACAGCGACGCAAACCCATACGCCAAAAATCTTTTTCAATTTAATCTCCTTAATCTAACTTTTTCAGGGCCAAATTTTAACTTTCAACACTAATCGCCATTATCACTCAACTAATAAAATAAAAATCCTTCCAACACCTCTTCTATTAACTCTTACCCCATCTATATTACTCTCATTTTTTTATTCCGCCTTTAATCCTCCTAAATTATATAATCCAACTCTATTTCAATCCCACCTTCCCATTACCTCTTCTTAACTCATTCATACACTCCCTAACCTTTATATCGTCTATATCCCCGCTCCATTCAAAACAATTTACACTTCTTTTAGGCTTAATTTTTCATTATTTTTCGCATCAATTAATCTATAATCTCATCCATCACAACACCATTTCAAATTCCTCTACCCATTTATCATTCAATAAAATACCACATAAACCTCTCTAAATAAAACCTTACTCTTTTCAATCTTTCCCATTATAATATATTCCCAATATTCTCCATACTTATCATACCATATCATAATTTTATTAACCTCATTCTCGCGAAATAGCCCTCTAATTTATCAATATAAATTATATTTCTCTCCATTAAACCTCTCATTTACTAACTTACGCTCTTTCAATTAATCTCTCATAAAACCAAAGGGCCAGATCCATTAGCGAATGTGCTTCCTCGACTAGTGGAAGAACCCACGCCAAGTCGTAAACGGAAACGCAGTAAGATGTCTGGAAGTCAACTTCGAGAAAGATTGATAACTATAGAAGAAAGCAATGAAGTTGACTTTGATGCCATTCGAGGTAACACATTTTGTCGGATAATATATAATCCTGTTGCATCTTTTCCTAATTTGGGATTGTTGCTTCCGTCTACAGTCTTTGTTAAATGGTACAACTATCCTGAGCAGGCTCGAGAAAATTTTCCTGATAAAGATAGTTACTACGACATGTACGTCAATGAGCTTGAAATTAATGAGATGCTTGCGAATTCGTCTTTTGCTGCAAAATTCGCAAAGCTTATAGTTTCTGGATACTGGAATGGTATTCCCAGCCAGCCGATGCATATATTTGAAGATTTGGGAGAAGAAATGCCGTCTACTGAATGGGATAAATATAGGGTGCATAAAGCGGTTACGGAGAGGCTCGCGGAACTCCATCTGTTGGGAATTTCGCATAATGATATTAGAGTCGACAACATACATGTTTCGATATCGGGAAGAATCACTTTGATAGATTTTGGGTTAGCTGTTCACCCAAGTAGTGAAGAGCGGAAAAAAAGAGACTTTGAAGCTCTTGATGAGCTTGTCCCAATTACTGGTTATGGCATTTCTGGGGAGGATAAAATCCGTGATGTTGTCTTAGCTAAAAACGAAAATAATGAAAGTAGATTGAATGATCATGCAAACTCCAGTGACGAAATGGTTTTTGACGAACTGGTTTTAGAGTCTGATGATACTCCAGGGTCTACTAAGGTTGACTCCAATTCGAAATGTGATGAAACTTGAAAAAAATGACTTCGGAGAGGTTCTGAAGTATTTTTGAAGGATGTGTACATGGATTCTTGTGTTTTACAGTGTTATGACTTATTAAACTTAGATATGCGATTAAAATTTTGTAATAACTTCAAAACTATAAACATTGGAGCAGATGAACTTTGCAGAAAGTCTATATATGTTTATGATAGAAATTCCATGTCATCCTCATGATACAATTGAATATTTACTAGTTAATAAATTATATATATCAAAAAGACGAAGTAATACTTCTATGTCATCATAACGTGAGCAACCTCGTTATTTGTTTATTTCTACGAAATCAATGACCTATGATTTGGTGCATGCTTATGTAACATTATCAATATTCTTTTGTTTAGCTCTGTTTATTTGTTTTGATTTAATAGTACCATGACGTCATGGTATTCTCTAAAGTAAACAAGGAACAGTTTACACTATTAGTATGGGGATGAACAGTTTGCACGCAATTGCAGGGTATAGTCAACACATTAACTGAAGGCATATAACCCTAGGGTTTTTGAGAGAATTCGCATCAAAACTAACCAGTAGGCGTCGACAATAATATATTCTTATTGGTAGTGTGCGCTTCCATTCTTGTGACTATAAGATCGTTGAATGTATAGCTATTTAGATAATGAGAATACACTTAACTTATGTACGTTATAAGTGTCGAAGCTAAAGATATAAGATCTAGGCATATTTTTATAACAGAAGCTCTAGATCAACAACAAGTGAATTTAATTAAGCGATACAATGGTAAATATAGTTGCAGCGGTGTAGGTAACATTGTTCATCAGGTGTGCGTGTTCACTTCACATAGCGATGCTGAATCATACTGGATTAGTAGGGAACGGGTCCGACCAAGATAAACAACGTGCTAAGGATATAGCAATAAGTGACTTGACGAGGTCTGGGGTGGTAGACGTTGATGTGATCGGAGTGGCATTTCGTAGGTTCAATGGAAGCACTGATTTGCAGAGTATTACGTGGCGGAATCAAAGCGCTCTAAGTCTTAGGTCTATTAAATACCTGACGACACTGTTTACAGTTTGGGCTTTAGGTCTCACAACAAACTATGCCTTGAGGTCATTCCAGGGAACTAATGAATGGAAGTGCCATCTGTCATTAGATGATGATGGCGATATCCCTGAAGAATTTTACGGTTATGCCGGTGAAATGGCATGTACTGCATGTTTTTACACAAACCCTGATTGCTATGGCCCTGGCTATAAGGGTTATGAATTCTACTACGATGAGGAATACAAAATGGCTGACATTGGTAGTTATGACTCAGTATATGTTAAATGCAGACAGGGCACAAGCGGGCCACCTAGTCATCACGACTGTCCAGGAGCTACTAGCGCTGCAGAATTAGGGTCAATTTATTATGGGTACGATTAATTAGTACGCGATTGAGCAGTCAAACAAAGGAATGTATAACTAATACTGTTAAAAAAAGTCGCAGTGTTTTGCGAGAAATAAGGATAAATTTCTTATGGTTTGCCTATTGCGTTGTTCCAGCTTCAAAATAGATTGAACGTTAATCCTAATCATTTAACTATAAAGGAGGTATTTAGACCTCAAATTTAGACTATTTGTGTAGAAAATAAGTAATTTACATATTAATTGAAAGAATTTACCTATTATTTAATGATGCCGACAATCGTGGACTTAGAGACTACTTCGCTAAGTAGCTTCATTCAATGCAATGTTGAAATATTTGTTCAAATAATTAGTCGTGGAATTCTTGGTGATTAAATACTGATGAGATTTAAAACAAATTGCGAAAAATACAATCAGGTTGCAAGATCAAATAAATACTTGAATGGGTAAAGAAGTGAATGTAACATGAATATTCTCTTGATGTAATCTTTCTAAAGGTGCATTCATTTCGGTGTTCAAATAGTTTAATCAGAATTTATC